GTAATAGCAGGCGATAAAAATAGATTTCAGAAGCTGCAAACATCCCCTTGTCATAAACAGTGCAGACTACAGTCATTCGAACAATTAGATAATTATGAAAATTTACAGGGATATCAAAAGAATCAGCATAGCAAGAAGCAGCTGCTCAACTCAGAGAAGCAAGACAGTTTTTTTAATGGAAACAACATAGGGCAAAAGCACTTTCTACCAAAGTTAAAAACTACTTAATTCATCATGACATAAAGCTCTTTGGATTAGTTTTCTTATAACCAATCAGAAGTTTCTCATTTGGGATACTGTTGTACCTGCCCTTAACAGCTCCCAGGCAAAACAAAGCCAGGCTTTCTTCCCCATAGGAATTTCACCAATTATGTTAGTGGAGGTCATCCAAGTAGCCCCTCTCCTGTTCCTTCCACTCCAAATATCCTTTCAAATGATACAGCGTAGGCTGATACCCTTCTCACAGAGAGGCCATCCAGGTTGCAAGAACAGCCGTTCAATGCCTCAGTCTACTGCCTCACAGTCAGGTGACAGAAGAAACCAAATTCAGCAGGTAACCCTTGTATAAATCTAATTTTTGAGGTTAAGTTAGACATCACACTCCAGCCTCTACAGACAGAGCATTTTTTCATCAAATGTTTGTGCTTTCCTTTCATCAGACAGGCAAGTCCTGCCCCAGAGCCCACCACCTCACCTGGCTGCCAGAAACCACACATTAGCTGATTCTGGAGCACCTAAAGAATTAACCTTCCTTATCTTAAGTCCTCTGCTCATACCCACCCTTCTCTCTCTTCCTCTCGTAACTGTACTTGCTTTTGTAATTTCCTTCCTCCTTTGCGTTTGATGTGGTTACATAACCCCTGTCAGCCCTCATCTCCTCCAGCTGGAGAGGTGAGCACTGGCACACCTGAGCTGTGACTCTCTTAAAGGCCCTTAACACCCAGACGATCACAGTGCTTTCACCCCATGCTCCTGATGACACAGAAAGGTATTTTCATGCAGTTGAACCCAAAGAAAACATCGTGTCTCACCTTTTCCAGAACATGGATTGCTCTACAGAAGAACCAGTCAATGGGTTGTGACTTCAGTGGAATTCTGTGGCAAAACTGAGCACTGAACCTTGTTTGCAGATAATACCTCCCTAGCGCTTGTAACTACAAGAACATCTTCATTCTCGAGCCAACGCTGCTCCCTTTTTTTGGCCTTTCACAAACCTTACTGTTCTAGCATATCTGGAAAACAGAAACAACAGTGCTGTGACAATGCTGGGGCTAGTTTCACTGGATTTCTCAACAGCAATCTCACCCTGAGTTGTTTACATCACTCTGCCTTGGCCCTCAAGGTTACTTATTTGAGTAGGTTAATGCTGCCCTGCTGAAACAGGTTGATGAAATGAACCATGTGAACACTAATCTCTTGTGAAGTGCTGCCCGGGCACTGGCATGAGCAGGCTGGCAAACAACTGTGTTTTTCTCAAAAATAAATTAACACCCTAAACTAATCTTTTTCCTCCTTAATAAGAAAGTACCATAGTTCTGCTATTGCTCACAATGAGGCAATAAGCCAGATCAGTGAGATTTACAAGGCAGCTTTTCACGTGTATCAAACTCCTATTGGAACATTGCAAGTTCACTCATGCCCTTACATATTGACATGCCACTGAGGCAGTTTTGTGTGCAGTCTTTCGCTGTTGGGTTTATTTTCTAGCTGAAGGAATGGTGAGCAGTTAGTACATTGAGATAATAATGTACAAGCAAACAATCTCTATTTTTCAGGTAGGACCCTGGTTGATACCAGCCATTGGGAACTCAAGGGAAGATGACAGGCAGTCTGCTACAGACTTCTGAATGTTACTTTAATACTGTTGCCCATAGTCAGCAAGACTAGTGTAGTGGTCATGAAGCCCAACTTAAGTGTTCTTACCATTGCTGGAAAGCCTGACTCTACTGTCTTTTTCTTACCTGTGATGTTTATGTCTATCAGACCATTCCATGACAAACACTTGGCACTTGCTTCATAGGTGCATCTCCTGAGCCAAAGGATCGGTCCTCTTGTCCTATTCTCTTGGGATTGAATTTTCCTTCTAGGAAAGCTACCACAGATATCTCTCCCCTATGTAAGTCGAACATAACAAGTTCAGCAGCCTGTTTGCATGTAGCTGCTTGCAAAATTGGGCCTTAGTAGTAGGAGTGAAACCAGTTAATTTGAGAGTGACCCCAGGGAGCCATTGCTTATTGCTTTACAGTAGTGTCCAGGATGTTCTCCCTGCCTTCCAAGTAGTGAAGATGCCATGTTACTCTCCCTGTCCCATGGTGTTTGTTAGGAATGATTTTCAGTCAGAGCTGATTTGAGAGGCAGCATTCGTGTGCCAGTGAGGAAAGCTCACACATTTCAACATCAAGCCTATGACTAAATCACTCTCTCCTCCTGTCAATTTGGTAATGATCAGTTACCAATGTAATCTCCAGGCACAAAACTATCCTTCCCTTCCTCTTCTCCTTAATGCCCTTGAGCCTTTCTTTATGAAGAATTCAGGACAAATTGGTTCTAACTAAAATTGATTCTGCAAGGGGACGGACTAGGCCATAAGTCCCTGTGTTTGCAGGCACTAGTTTTCTTTGACAACATTGGGGAATAAACACATCCACCCCATCAGCACCCACTGCCTTTGGAAATCATTGCTAAGTGTGAAAAGGCATAAGTGACACTTGAAAATTCAGAACAGTGACTACAGAGCAGGAGTAGGAATCCCAACTCCTTCATATCTTAAGCTCATTGAAACCAGTAGAATGGAGCGCACCAAACATCCAGCGCACCAAACAAGTCTGCAACAGACTTCCAGGCACATCACTGCTCATATACCAGGTCATCAGGTGTCAACTGTTTCATGAAGAGGTAAGGGGAAAGGAAGCTTAATAGGTTTTGATTTTGCTTTTGGAAGAAATATTTACCATGCAGAGGTTTTAGCCAATTTTGTAGAACATATGAAATCTTGGAGCAGAGATGTGCTCTGACCTTCCCAAGGAATACCTAGGAGGTGGTTATGGTACAAACCTGGTTCCTGAGATAATGCAGCAAGTGCTGCAATTTCAATGCTTTTTCTGAGAGCTGCCCCCCCAAATTTCTTCCCTAAGCAGTTTACCAAATCAGCTGTCCTTTTTCTCAAAGCAGATTGAGCTACAGTAGTTTTCATGAAAATTATGCACTTTGAGGAAGGAATTTAAAAGTGTTGGGGACAGCCAGCACAGAATCAGGTCCATAACTCAAGGTTTAACAGGTCACACAGAGAAGACAGACAAAAATTGGGTGAAGAAAGAAGTTATCTAGCTGTAGTTGTACTCCTCTCCTCAGTCACAATAGCCAGCAGCTGGCACCACAGGTTTCAGTTTCATCCCACCAGCCTGGGCACAGCAAACTCATCAAATAGCTCAGTGCCATTGAAACGAATTCCTTTGTGCATGGAAAAACCCTACTAAGTGATGTGACAGGGTCATCCCTTGCTGTGAAAACATCGTCACTATTGCAGCAGACAAGCAAGGCAACAGGGGGGAGGAGGGTAAGGGGGTACCTCTCAGTAAAGTCACATCAAAGAACCACTCTTTTTCAGTGACCTGGAGAAATCACCAAGGAAAAAAACACAGGTATACCTGCACCCCTCACAGGGCTGAATCACTGCCATTATTACAAGTCTGACAGAGAACTACAGTGAACGTAAGTGTTTCATTACTACCAGATCACCATGATAGGACTTGAAGAGCCAAAGTAGATGAAAGGTATTGGCACAGTTACCTCCTGTAGCTTTTCCTCGCAGCAGGCACAGAAGGGAAGCAAGGGTTAGTTGCTTAAATCATGGCCATTTCAACTGGTCTCCCTTGGCTGCTGTAAAGTATTGGGCGTTTCCTCTCAGTGCACCACAGGGAGATAAAACAGTTTTTTCCTACTTGGATTTCACCCATCTCTCCTCTCAGAAGTACTTGCCAATGACTCATAATGAACACAGCTGTATCAGCTAGTGCTTTTTTTTTTTTCCTCCCAAAACAACTACATTAGAAGACCTCTACAGTGTACGCTGCTCCAGGACACCTCTTTGTGACACCACCTGTGCAAACCTGACATGGGAAGATCATCACTGGTGCAATTTGTACTCTGTCTACTAACAGTGACAGATGACTTCCACAAGAAGTCTGGGTAAGTTGCCTAACAAAACCATCTTCTAGCAGAAGATACTTATAAATAAAGCAAAATTTACTGTCCTCCCAACCTGATGAATTCTTCTGGGCACACCAGAGATCATCTTCAGTTCTCCAAAACCACCATTGTTTCTCTTTGTTTAGATCAAGGTGATTCATGTCCTGATTGCTGAGCAACCCAGAGAACAGCCATTCAGCATGAAGGGGCACCTTTACATTCATTTCAGTGTCCCATGAAGAGCAGGATGCAGTATGGATTTTTTTTGTTAGAGATTGTTTTAAGCATATGGATATAATATGAAACCCAAGCAGTCAAGCATTTTATTGGTACTGTCTCTAGGTCTTAGAATTCTAACACAGGGATGAGATTGGTCCTTTTAAATTTTTTAAAAAATATTTTTAAAATTAGCTCTTAAATTATAATGTTTCTGACTAATCCAGACCTGATGTCCATTCAGTTTCATGTTTTGGAATTAAAAAAAAAAAAAAAAACAGACTCTCAAAAATAGAAGTCTTATTATTGATGAATAGATGGGACTCTACTGAGTAACTAGGATGGCAAAATGGAGGTTAACATAAGGTAGATTCAGCATCCACATACTGTTTAAGAAACACCACTGTCAAAACAAGCATCCAGGTTCACACAAGCTTTGCCATTTCCTCAGTACTTCAAGAGCCGAGTCCAATGGCTTGGCAGAAAATTCACACACCTGTTGCAGACAGAGATAAAAATCAAAGCCTGTCAGAGCTATTTTAAGAACAGCTGTCTGAATCCAATAGCACTTGTATGGTAATAATAATAAACTCAAAAACATTTAAAACAAAGAATTTTAATAATTTCTCTATAACAAATAATTAATCGAATAGGCCGAATCCCATGTCATCATCAGATTCTTCAGATTCCTCTTTCTTCTCTTCCTTTTTCTCCTCAGCTGAAGGAAAAAAAGACCAAGCAAATGGTCAGTATAAACACTTTCTGCACCACAGATTTTCAAGATACAAGTTTTGGTGATCTCAGCTCCCACATTATTGACATTTCAGTCTCCATGGTTCATCCCAATCCCTTTCAACAACCAAATACAAACACCAAGGGGACACAGAAACTACTGCAGGGATGTGCTTTACACTACCAAGTCTGTTTGATTCTCAGTTCTAAACCAGACCACTCTTAAGGCGGATAAAGAGCAAATGCTTCTGATTGCCCAAAGTAACTGTTCAGTTTACATGTCCATCACATACTGAACTGTCAAAGTGAACAAGCTTTGAAATTTGAACTAAAGGAGCTGTCTGTGCCTCTCCACTCATACTCACCGGCAGCAGGGGCAGCAGCTGCAGCAGGGGCAGCAGAGCCCCCTCCGGCAGAGACTGCCACTGCTCCTCCCGCTGGCATGCTGGCAAGTTTTCCATTACCTGAGAGGGACAGAAGAGAAAGTATTTAAATGCTCATCCCAAGCAAAGAGGTCGAGGGAAATGGAAGACAAATGACAGTGCAGAAAAAAACAGATCCCGTCTCATGGACTGAACCTGCCACTATTTGCTGAAAGGAAGAAGAGGCTGCATCCGTGATAAATATAAACTATTCTCTGAGAAACACTCAGTAGTTTTAAGCTTCACAAAGGCTTATGCCAAGAACACTGGCAACACATTATTGGGACGTTTTCTTCTGTACACAAAGTGCCCTATGTTTCTTCCAGAACCTGTCATACAAAAATAGTAGCAAACACACCCAGTTTTGCACACCCATGAAGACTGTTCTCCGAATACAGCACAGTAGCCCAGAAGTTGGTAATATACCCCTGAAGTACTGGATCGGCAGCACTGGCTTCCCCCACCCCTCACCTCCTTCTTAAGGGTATAGAGAACCCTGAGGACATGACTGGCTCACACAGGAGAGAAGGGGAAAGACGTATTTATGGCAAAGAGGACAGCATTTTAAACAAATTCCCCAGCACCCTATGAACACTATTGCATCTCCTTGAGACTCCTGATTTATGCTCATATTTGGAAAGCCTACTAGTTCTCTGGCATCTGTCTTTCACATACCAAGGCTCCCTTGGCATTCAGAGGTCATGTTTGCCTGTATTCCAATTTCTGGGAATCAGTTTCTAAATAATTCCGTGTTACTTCAAGCTCTAATAAAATAGCAAAGTAAACAAACATGTTTCATATGCATGTCAGTATGTTCTGAGAAACAATTTACTTAAAGTATTACAGAAGGAGATAGCATAAGTGTGTTGTAAGCTCATGCATAATAGCTCTCTCAGGTCTTCAGTGTCCACGTGCCCTCACAGCAAAGCCAGGCAAAGTCCTGGCAACCTTTAAGCAAAAATATGCCTAAAAGTTCCCTTGTGCCTACACACTTGCAAAAAAATAAAAATTCATTAATCAGAAACCTTTGCACTACCTCAGCTCTGCTTTACTTCAGCCCTATGACCCAGTCAATTCATGCCCAAAGTTCCAGCTTAAATCAATTCATGTTAAAAGTTCCCGCTTCAGTAAGAGCACAAGTTCTATGGAAGTCGGCACTCAGAATCCTATCTCAGGGAAAAGGAAATGCCAGGCTTGGGGAGCTCTAAAAGAGACGTGCACTGGAGAGGCTTGTGCTCCTCGCACAGGGTGTGCCCCCCATGCCAACTCACACTGTTCTTCACCTTTCACATCATTAATGCACATAAGTGGGCAAACAAAAATCCAGAGACCCTGAAGGAAAGCTGACTCTTTCTCCAGTCAGCATGTCCAGAAAACTGTACGATGAGCAGACCACCAGTAAGCTCATACATGCTTAAGTTCTCCAGTTTAATGTGGTCCACAAGCGAAACCCAGCAGGTACTGGCACTGACCTGCAGGGAATTAGAATGGACCTGGATTTCAGCCTATTCAGCTGCGATCCAGCATGGAAGTGGCAGCAGTTCCAGTTCTCAGATCTAAGCTATCAAAGTAGCAGAGGCAATTACCTGTAACAGAGACTCTACTCACCCTGAGCAATTACATCTTCGATGTTTTTTCCATTCAGCTCACTAATAACCTGTGTAATTAAAGTTTAGAATGTTAATACTTTCAAACCAGCATGAGAATAACCTACATTTTAACAAGTTCTGATTAATCATCACGTACAATGGCTCCAAAATTCTTTATTTCTCAGTGGAAGGAACAGGGCATTGAAATTAAAACCTCCACCAAGTCTTTTATACTTTTCTGTGAAACCTTTTTCAAGAGATCTGTTACAGTAAATTCATAATGAATCCAAGGATCTTGCAGAAAGGAGGATACACAGATGTTGTGAAGCCAATTAGCAAACCCCACTAATGGTATGTTAGTCACTGAGGGACTGTCAACATTTCTTGCTTCATGCCCCCTGGGAGGCTCTGGAGCTCTGGGTCCTCTACCAAAAACCACAGGGTCCCCTTCCCAGCCTTACCAAATGTTAACAGCCAAGCTGGCTATTGTATCCTTGCACTGGAACACAGAGTCCCAGCTTCAATTTTACTACAATTGTTGTACAACCACGGATGAGGAAAGCAAAACACAAACCCACAAAAACATTGCTAAAGCAAGAAAGCACTTAAAAATATAATGCCCCAGACCTTACTGGTGACTCCTAGCTATCAAGAGTCAGTGCTGAACACTGCTGAGTAGCCAAAGCCAAAGGACTTCAACCAAGAGTTTTCCAACAGGCACCTTCTGCTCACAGGGAGAGTGAGGTGTGTGAAATGCTCTGCCTGCATTCTTGCTCCATCCAGGAGAAAGGTGCTTTTAACACTTCACTACATTTACACTGGCTTAAGATACAGCCAATGCAAACAGAAGAGGATTAATTAATTATGACCAAAACAAATTCCAGGTATTGGAGGATCAGAGAAAGCAATTAATTTATGATGGTATTAAACCTAAACAAAACAAAAGAAGACTTGGCACCACAAGTTCAAATCAACATCCCAAACCATGAAAAGGATGCTGTCAGCTCAGACAAGGCATTGTCTGGTTGAACCTACGGTAAAACACTGTTTCCAACGGGGAAAATAACTTCTTTTTATCTCCACCTCTCTGGAAACACTCCACATATGAGTACGGGGTAGGTGAGAAGATCATTTCATTGGATCTTTTTTTTTCTCTTTTTCCCATGGCCACTGATTTTTTAAGTCCACAATGCTGAAAATGTTATATTACATGATACATTCTAGTTAAAAGTACTCTCTTCTTCAACACTCTGTCTTTCAACACAACCATTTCCGCATTTATTTTCAAAATCTTCCTACATCTTATAATCAAATACCTATAAAGTCCATGTTAGGATTTGCCTATGTTTCTTAGTGAAGAAACAAATGGTGCTTCGCAGCACACTAAGTAAGAATGTATGACTGAAAATCAGGCCTTTAGAAGTGTTAGTTCTGAATCAATACTGACCAGAAATAGGAAGTGCAGAGTATACATGATGTCAGAACAGAACTTATTTTCAGTGTATCGTTTCTAGCCACCATCTCACTGAGAACGGTTTGACTGAACAAGTCAGCAACAACTGACAAGAGACCTTTGGGGAGGACACGTGTTGAATTAGAAAACCAGACTTCTAACTTAAGTTGTAAAAGCAGCTGTGATTGGCTCAGCAGCGTTTTAGAAATCACACACGTAAGGGCCACCGAACATGGGCACAAAGTAAGGGCAGATCAGCAGCGAGGCAAGCGGAACACTGAAGCCAAGGGAACAGCTCCAGGGTCTGGCGCTGGCTGGGGCACGACCACCCGGAATTAAGAGGCAACGCCACCTTGTTCATGCGTTCATCGTCCGTCTCGATGCCGACGCTGTCGAGGATCTTCTTCAGATCCTTGGACGTGGGGGACTCGTTGCCCCCGAGCACAGCGAGGAGATAAGCAGCGACGTAACGCATCCTGCAACACAGGAGAGCGGCGTCCTGAGGGCCCGCGGCCGAGAGCAGGCCCGGGGAGCCCCGCCCGCCACAGCCCTCCGGCTCCGCTCGCACAGCGGCACCCGCGCTCCCTGCCCGCCCTCCGCCAACACGGGCCCGCGCACGGCAGTCCGGCCAAGGCTCCCGCTCCGCGCCCAGGGAATGTGGCGTTCGGCTCAGCCCGTCCCTCCGCCAGCCCCGGCCCAGCCGCAGGCCCGAGAGCACATGGCCGCCATTACCCCCCCGCCCCGACTTCAGTGGTCTTTCCCGAGCCCCTGTGGCGGCCGCGGGCTGAGGCGGGCGGGCCGGGCGCGACCATTCCCGGGGGGCAGGGGGAGCCCCGCGCACTCACGTTGTCTGCGGCGGGACACGGGCCGGGGCGTGCGCTCGCGACGGCCGCGCGGCGGGCGAAAGGAAGGGGCGGGGCCTCGGCAACGCCTTCTGCCCGACACCCCTCAACAACGAGCGCTGCCATTGGACCGCGCCGGCGGCGGGCGGGCGGACCAATGAGGAGCGGCGAGCGAGAGCACCGCCAGCGCGGCCGGAAGCGCATGCGCAAAGCGCGGCCGCCTCGTCCCGGCTTTGCTGTGGGAGTCGTGGGATGCGTTGGGATGGGCGTGATTCCCAAGGCGCACAGTCACAGGGTCTGTCTGCCGGGAAAAGACCTCCGAGATCACGGAGCCCAGCCTGTGACCTAACACTGCCATGTCAACTAGGCCATGGCCTGAAGTGCCACGTCCAGGCTTTCCTTGAACAGCTCCAGGGATGGTGAATCCACCGCCTCCCCGGGACAGCCCATTCCAATGCCCAGTCACCCTTTCTCTGAAGAAATTCCTCTAACGTCCAACCTAAACCTCCCCTGGTACAGCTTAACACTGTGTCCTCCAACTGCAGCATCCTGCCCTGCCCTGCCCTGCCCTGCCCTGCACTGCCCTGGGGTCGGCACAATCCCGATTGATCCACATACTGTCCTGGTATTTGTTCATTTTGTATCTACACAGAGAGGGGCACTGGGTGGTAAATCCACAAAGCCACAGCGCATCTCTGTGCAGACATGAAACAAATGTTTCCCCATGGCAAGGGTGGTCAGGCACTGGAGTGGGCTGCCCAGGGAGCTGGTGGGATCACAGTCTCCACAGGTGTTGAAGGAAGAACTGGACGTGGCACTTAGTGCTGTGGTTTAATTGTCATGGTGGTGTTTGGGCAATGGTTGAACTTAATGATCTCGAAACAGCTACTGGACAAGGGAAGTGATTGTTCCCCTGTAGTCAGCATTGGTGAAGCCACACCTTGAGTGCTGTGCCCAGTTCTGGGCCTCTCACTTCCACAATGGTATTGAGGTGCTGGAGTGACTCCAGAGAAGGACAATGGAGCTGGTGAAGGCCCTGGAGCACAACTCCTCTGTGAAGTGGCTGAGGGAGTTGGAGTTGTTTAACCTGGAGAAAAGGAGGGTCAGGGGAGACCTGAATACTCTCTACAACTGCCTGGTGGGTGTCAGCTTCTTCTCCCAGGCAACTAGTGGACAGGACAAGAGCCCTGACATCACTGAATCAATTAGGTTGGAAAAGACCTCTGAGATCATCAAGTCCAACCTATGACCAAACACAAACTTGTCAACTAGACCATGCACGAAGTGCCACGTTCAGTCTCTCCTTGAATGCTTATGGAGACGGTGACTCCACCACCTCCCTGGGCAGTCCATTCCAGTGCTTAATCACCCTTTCAAGTGAAGAAATTCTTCCTAATGTCCAACCTAAACCTCCTCTGGCACAGCTGGAGACTATGTCCTCTTGTCCTGTCACTGGTCGCCCTCTCCACCTCCCCGCCACGGCTACAACCTCCTTTCAGGCAGTCGTAGACAGATTTTGAGCAAGGGGCGCTTCTCGCAGGGCAGCAGCACTGCGGGGGCCCGGCCGGGACCCGCCGTGCCGGGCCTTGCCCCTCGGGGCGGTACGGGGAGCAGCACCCACGCCGAGGGGCCTCGGCAGAGCGAACGCAGAGACACAGCGGGTGGAAGCAGGTGCCCTCCGGGTGGGATGAGGGCCGGCTCGGCAGCCCCCAGCCCTGCGCCCTCCTGGGCTCGCAGCCCCCGCTCCGTTTCTCTCCCTGGGTTTGCAGCGAGTGAGCACAACACCCGGGGCTGCCCGTGCCTCCCCTCCCTTGGAGCCCAGGGGAGCCGCACCGGGACCGGCTGCGGTGCCGAGGCCGTGTCAGGAAAATCTCCTTTCGTGACACTGCCGTGCCTGCGGGATGCCTGTGCCTGCGGCATGCCTGTGCCTGCGGCTCCACGCCCGCCCCACGTCCCGCCGGCTTGGGCACCTCCCCCGCCCCGCCCCGTCCCGTCCCGTCCCACCCCGGCAGCGCCGCTCCCGAGCACTCTGCAGGAAGTGCCGGGCAGAGCCCAGCCCAGCCCGGCCCGGACGCGCTTGTTGAGGGCCAGCGGCCCGAGGGGTGAGACAAGCGGGGCCGTGCTCGGCGGGACACGGTGCGGGGCCCGGCTGGAGCTGCTGCCGCGGGCCGGGACGGCGGGATGGGGGGTGGCAGGGCCAGGGCCAGGGCACGTGTGGACGAGTCCGTGTGTGTGCATGTGCGGGGATGTGTCCGTGCACAGGTCTGTGTGTCCATGTGCGGGTCTGTGTGTCCACGTGCAGGTTTGTCAGTGTGTCTGTGCCTGCCAGTGCACTGGATGTACAGACCCGTGTATTGCAGCACACCCTGAGCTGCCTCTGTGGCCTCCAAGCCTCTCCAGCCTGGGCAGTCCGGATCTCCCCTTTGGTTCCTTCACCATCAACAGCTTTACAAAGCTGTAGCATGTATTGTGTACAGCCATTTTTTTGTAAGAAATGCTCACCTTTATACTAAAGCAGCAGTTTCACTTGTATCCCACTGACACTTGGTTTCACAACGGGGTTCGACAAGACCTGTCGCAGTTTTCGAGCTGCCTCTGGGGTCTGCTTCCTGTTCTTGTCATTACATTCCTGCTCTTTCAGGGAGATGGGTGTGACTAGTGTGGTGACGCCTCCACCAGACTGTGCCTTTGGAACATCAGTCCTGCCGTGTCCCACAGGTTAACAGTAAAAGCACTGCTCCTCAGAGTGTTGCTGGGGCATTAGCTTGTTTCCACTGGCCTTGAAAGTAAGATCCAAATTTGTTCTAGTTCTGCATCACTCACTCAAACTTTTATTCACCTATCTGATCCATGGCAGAGTTTGCAAAGAGCTCCTGATATTCACATCATAAGCTAGTTTAATTGCCAAGCTCAGGAGGAGTTGCAAAAGATAAAGGAAGTGGAAAGAGCAGGAAACAAGGTACTTGGAAGTATGTGACTACTGGTATAAAAACAAGTGTGGTGCCTCTGTTCATCTTTGAACTACCTGTGTACTATGGTGATAGTGTCTTCTTTTAAAAGTCCTGTATGAAGGCTTCTTCACACTAAGAAAGCAGAGGAGTAATTAATTTGTTCAAATTTCGTACCTCTGCTCCTTTAGGTTTGAAGCCTTCTCAGCATGCACTATGTGATATCTACTTTTTCCCTTTCCCTTTGTCTGTGGAGAATGCTGAAGGGAAGAAACAGGGAGTAGCTGGTAACTAGCTGGCCACAGCTCTGTGCCTGGTTTGCACTTCCACAAGAGCCCAGTGTGACTGCACAGTCCAGTGCTCCTGTGTCACGGATGTGCCTTTTCTAACCCCGTCCCTGGCCCTGACACGTTTGCTCTGCTGCCCTTTGCCCGCTCACTTTTATCCCATTGGCACTGGGTTTCACAACCGGGTTCAATGAGGACCCATCACAGTCTATGAGCTGCCCCTGGGCTTTGCTTCTGGCTCAGCTCTCCCTACCCCAGTTTTCTTCTCCACTTGTAAAGCTTCCCACTAAGGCACTTCGAAATCTGCATAAGGAATAGGCATTTCCATTTATATCTTTTAAGGTTAATATTACTGTTTATTCTGATGGTGGGTAATTGCTCCATTCCTTGATGAGATGTTGGCTGGGAAAACTCTGAGGTTTTCCCTAGGAGGAGAAGCCTCTGTGGCATCTGTCACCCTGCAGTTCTGTGCTCTCTGCCCGCAAAGCTTTCAGTAACATGCATGTAATCCTTCTTGCCCTTTTGCTTTGATTATAAACTCTTTCCACTCTGGGCTGGGGCAGGAGGCCCTCATGGTGCACTTGTGTTCTCTTTCAGCCCCATCTTTCCTCCTCCTCCTTGTCCCGGCTGCCTCGTGGTGCCGCTGGTTCCTGCCTGCCTGGCAAGTCAGAGCATGTCCAGACCCCATGGAGGAGATGCAGAAGATGGCAGAGCAGCTGAGCCTCTGGGGCAAGTGCGGGGAGGGGACTTCGGGGGCTCCTGCGCTTGCTGGCCCCTGCCTTGCAGGCAACAGACTGAACCTGGATGTTTATCCTGATGGCTGCTGCCATTTCCTCCGGCTGTTGAAGCAGCAACGGGAAGAGGTGGTCCAGGTGGAGTTCCTTCGTCTCAGCAGCAATGATTGCCTCATTGACACCACGCTGGACAGCCTTCCTCATCTGGAGCACCTGAAATCCCTGGTGCTGAAAGGTAAATTGGCTCATCACCACCCAGTCTTTCTAGGCTCGGATTTTCTGTTAATCCTTCTCTCTGCATCTGCAGGACAAACTGCCCTTGGAAGTGTTTTGTTCCAGTGCCCCTTACCTCAGCTTTGGCTCTTAGCCTTGCTCAGAGCTGCATGCAGATTTCAACAAGATACAGCTTCTAGACTCTTATTTTCTTCCTTTGTTTCTACAGCTGCCTGGGGATCAGTTTTTGGAGTCTGGCTGAGTTGATGCTGCGGCATTTTCTTTAGCCACTCTCTTTAAGAAGAGCATTTTTTGCAGTTATTCAAGAAGAGAGGGATTGAAAAATTTTGCAGTTATTCAAGAAGAGAGGGATTGAAAAGTGTTAGATTTTTTGATAAATGTTCAGCCCCTCTTTAACTTTTGGAAGTATAATAAACTGTCTTTTCTGCATTTCCATTTGAATCAATCCATGCTTAAATCCTTGGTTACTGCAAATAACTGTATGTTTAGCAGAGTTCAAGACAGACCAGAAGAGGCTGTTCAACATTTTATCTAAAGTATGACGCAGGGGCATGCATGTAATTTGGCAAAGTGTAATAACTGTTAGAGCTATAAATATGAGATCATTATTTGAACTTTCTCATCTCTTTATTGTGGGAGGATCTCAATACAAGTGGTATAATTTCTGTATCAGACTGAATCATTTACTCTTTGGGAGGTGCAGTTTTAAAAATAAATGAGAGAAAAAAGAGGGAGTTTGTGGCCAGAATGCAGGGTTCTACCTGAAAACTGAAAAGATTGAGGTTCATTTCTGTATCTGCCACAGATTTCTCATGTGAATAATTTGAGATTCTTTTCCATATTTAGTAAGGTGATGATAACAGCAATACCTTTTATTAGTCCTGTTTAGTGAGATGCACACATCCCCTGAGCATCCTGAAATGCAATAAAACAGTTCACTAAGATTTTCTTATGTACAAAGTGAAATGTGTCTGATAGTGTGGTTGTTCTCATTTTGCACCGTTATGCAGCATAACAAGTGTTTGGTGCCCTCTGCTGTATGTGGATACAAATAGAGAACAGGGGAGGGCAAGTAGGAAACAATGAACAAACAGAGAAGTTTCCTTTTGTTTGCTCAACTTATTTTCCATGGGTGCAGCCCTTCTCCAATTTGAGTGTCACAAGCTGGGTTGGGGAACTTGTATCCTTCTTTCTCTGTGCTGTCTGGCCTACACAAAACTGAATTACCTACTTCTCCCCCCTTCCCCTCCATCTTCACTGCTTTTGCCATGTCTGCCCTCCAGTCTTGCAAGGGCAGATCTCGGTCCTTAGGGCTGTTTGTTTCTCAACAGCATGGACAAAGCCTTGAGGGCAAGGACTATCTCCTTAATCCATAAAGTGTTGTGTGTTGGCCACTTCCTGGTGAGGAAGAGGTGGGGAAGGAGAGTAGGAGGTTTGGAAGTATGTGGGTCACCTTGCTGAAGGGTGGTAGATGTGTGGGGGTGTCCTGGCAAGTTCTGAGCTTTGACTCCAGATGTGTTTAGCAGAGCTGTACTGGTTCACTGTGGCATCTAGATTTCATAACAGATTTTTACCATTACACCCCTTTCACTGATCAGGAGACTAAGGCATGAAGCAGACTCACTTCTCTGAGTACTTTGTAATCAGTGCTGCTCATTGTGATCAGTAACTCCCCATCTCATGAGTCTCTGTGCTAAGGAGTCTCACGTGAGGCTGGTGAGATATCCCTGTAGCATATTGACCTCTTCTTCTACTTCCCTCCACACCCAGGAGGTCATGTTAGAGATAAGTTTGGTTCCTGCCAGCGTGGCTCCCTGACAAGCTTGCCACAAGACTTCGGGAACCTGAAGTGTCTCACCCACCTGGATCTCAGCTTCAACAGACTCTCCACCTTGCCGAGCTGCATTCTCCACCTCCCCAGCCTCCGTGTGCTCCTGGTGAGCCACAACAGCCTGGTGGCACTTCCTGAGGACTTTGGCTGTCTTAGCAAGTTGACTTTCTTCTCTGCTATGAAAAATCAGCTGACGGACTTACCTCAGAGCATTGGGGAGCTGTCAATGCTGCATACCCTGGATCTTTCAGAAAATGTTTTGCAATTGCTTCCTGAAGAAATTGGGAATCTGCACAACTGCAAAGAGCTGATTCTCTCTGGAAATTGCCTATCGAGCATCCCAGACTCCTTAGGTATGTATTTTTTAGGGGAAAAGAAGACATGGGCTTGCCAAGCTTTTGGTACAGCCTAAGAACGTGTGAAGCCCTGGGCCTTTTGTCCTCAGAGCTGTTAGCATGTTGGAGCCAAATGAAAGGGATATCTGGAAGTGGCGTGCTTGGTTCAGTCAGTCACTTCGAGCATTAATGACTCTCTGGACCACACTTTCTGTTCTTGTGGATCAGCAACACGGCTAAGATCTCAGTACAATTTACAATCTGGCCTGGCTGGTTTTGGGTAGCACCCGGGACTGGAAACAGAAGAGCTGGGGTTTGATGGGATGCAAATCTGGGCTTGAAATCACAGTGTACAGCGTGGATAAGTCCACAGAACTGGGCTCTGACTTCTGCTGCCCAGCCTCCTGGCTCTTGGATCCTCTATTACTTTGTGCCCAAGGTTGTTACTGATGCTGTCACAGAACTGTCTTACATCCACACTCATAGCTGGGTGCTGAAAAGCAGAGGACAGAGGAGATTGTGTTGCCTCTCAGCTAATTCCCTGCACCCGTTTATTTTGTGAGCTATAGAGATGTTTGGCTTTTGCGCTTTTCCCCCATTATATGTGCGTTTACATGGGATGAGGAAGGGGGGGTTAGAGCCGATGTGCGACACAATTAACAGCTTCTTGTTCTTGTTCTAACCTGCAGCCAATTTGAAGTCTCTGCGTGAGCTGCATCTCCACAGCAATTTCCTGGTGACGGTCCCTGCCTCTCTTGCCAGCCTGCCCAACTTGTCCAGACTTGATCTGCAGAACAACTGCCTCCGTGTTGTCCCCTCTGAGATCCAGGCTTTGCCATTTGTGGACCTCCATGGCAATCCCTTAGGAGAAACTGAACCATCTCTGCAGGCTGGTAATTGCAAGGCTTCTGCTGCTGTGTGTTCTGCCCAGCTGTTCCCTCACTCAGCCCAGCATGGTGTAGATGGGTTTGGATTAGAGAAGACTAGCAGGGGGGAATCAGATCAGCCTTTATTTGTCTGGAATAATTATTAGGTTGTAAGGATACAGACAGTACTGGTTATGTTTTTTATGAGCCCAAGCCTGGTCTGAAGGGCTCAGTGGTCCCTGGAATTGGACTTTCTCAATAAGGTTTTGTAGTGGAAGTGAAAATGGGATTCATGGGAAATGGATCAGGAGAGGTCCTTAAAGAGGTCCAGCCTTTTTAGCAGAGGTGAGCACCAGTTCTTGGACTTGCTGCAAGGCCCTAAGGCTGTGGTGGCTCATGCTAGAAGCTCAAAGAGCAGTAAGAGGTCATTTTGCTATGCAGTTACCTCCTGCTTTCCTGTGGTTCACAGGCATGCAGGGGAGCAGCTCTTTGTTCAAGGTGAAGGTGATGAATAAGCAGGAATCTGAATAGGGTTTCCCAATGGTGCTCATGTTCACAAGAGCAAGCACTGATTCCCAGGGGTGGCCCCAGGCAGTCAAACATGGCCCTGAGAGCTGCAGGGCTGGTAGATTGAAATATTTTGTGACTCTCTCTGCTTCTGAGTTTCCCAGGGGGAGAGTCACCATTTCCTTGTCTTGGGACCTCTAGGCCTCTTGCTATCCTCCTGCTGCTGCTTGATCTGTAGCCCACTGCAGTGTGATCAGGGTTCCATTAGTGGCTTCTGTCAGATTAGGATTAAGCCAAAACTGTTCAGCCTTTTTTGTCTACCCTGGTTTATGTAACCTCTGTGTTTTCCTCCTACCCAAACCTGGATGAGGGGAAGGCTGTGGATGTGTCTATCTGGACTGCAGCAAAGCCTTTGACACTGTCTCCCATAATATACTCCTGGAAAAGCTGGCAGCCCATGGCTTGGACAGGGGCACTCTGTGCTGGGTTAAGAACTGGCTGGAGGGCCGGGCCCAGAGAGTGCTGGTGAACGGGGCTGCATCCAGCTGGCAGTCACCAGTGGTGTCCCCCAGGGATCAGTGCTGGGCCCAGTCCTGTTTAACATCTTTATCGATGATCTGGATGAGGGGATTGAGTCCATCATCAGCAAATTTGCTGATGACACCAAGTTGGGAGGGAGTGTCGACCCGCTGGAAGGCAGGAGGGCTCTGCAGAGGGACCCGGATAAGACTGGAGAGTTGGGCCGATTCCAATGGGATGAAGTTCAACAAGGCCAAGTGCCGGGTCCTGCACTTTGGCCACAACAACCCCTGCAGCGCTACAGGCTGGGGACAGAGTGGCTGGAGAGCAGCCAGGTGGAAAGGGACCTGGGGGTGCTGATTGACAGGAAGCTGAACATGAGCCAGCAGTGTGCCCAGGTGGCCAAGAAGGCCAATGGCATCCTGGCCTGCATCAGGAACAGTGTGGCCAGCAGGATGAGGGAAGTGATCAGCTGTACTCAGCACTGGTGAGGCCACACCTTGAGTATTGTGTTCAGCTCTGGGCCCCTCAGTTCAGGAAAGACATTGAGGTGCTGGAGCAGATCCAGAGAAGAGCAACCAGGCTGGTAAAGGGACTTGAGCACAAGTCCTGTGAGGAAAGGCTGAGGGAGCTGGGGCTGTTTAGTCTGGAGAAGAGGAGGCTCATCACTCTCTACAACTACCTGAGAGGAGGTTGTAGCCAGATGGGGGTCGGTCTCTTCTCCCAGGCAATCATCAGTAGGACAAGAGGGCACGGGCTTAAGCTCTGCCAGGGGAGGTTTAGGTTGGATATTAGAAAGAAGTTCTTTACAGAGAGAGTGATCAGGCATTGGAATGGCCTGCCCAGAGAGGTGGTGGCTTTACCATCCCTGGAGGTTTTTAAGATGAGGCTGGATGTGGCACTGAGTGCCATGGTCTAGTAATCACAGTGGGATTGGATCAAGAGTTGGACTTGATGATCTCAAAGGTCTCTTCCAACCCAGTTAATTCTATGATTCTATGATTCTTATTGCCACAGGTGAATCCAGTGCCAGAGGGCTAAGAAGACTCTCCTATAGATTGAGAAAGAACAGGTAAGCCTCTGTTATGAAGAACTTGTATTACTGGGGTGTGACGAGGTCCCAGACAAGATTGGTGCAAGGTGGGTATTGCATTGCAGGAATGTATAGGCTTATAGCCTCAGTAGGCCAGTCAAACACAAGTATGAGATTCTTCTGTTGATTTTTGGAGGGCTGAAGTCATTGCACAGTGTCATACATTCATGCATTTCTTTTAGAAGCTTTCCTGTCACCTCTGAAGGCTGCGAAGTGGTCCTGCCCTATGGCATCCATTTGTGCTTTCCACCGGGGGCTGCCTCTGATCCTCTGCGGATCAGCTTCCGACTCCTTGAACCGGACCCTCAGTGGGTAAAGCTTAGACACCACGATGTCTTGCTGAGTAGGGTCCTGGAGCTGCGGCCTCATGGGATCAAATTCCAGCAGGTGAGGACACATCTAGGTCACCTCCTGATTAATCTGCCTTTGCAGCAGATCATCAGGGCCTTCTGAGAGAGCCTTTTGGGACTTTTGAGACACCTACCCCCATAACTGCTGCTTTTAAATATCTACAGAACTGCCTTTCAAAGAAGCCCCTCTGCAAAGACTCAGAAAGGACACAGCCAGCTTCTCTGGTGCTGTGCTGGCCTGGTGCCTTTGCCTTCCCCACTGCTCCTAATTCAGCTGAGCTGTAACCTTTCTCACTCACAACCCTCCTGCTGTGCCAGAGGATAAGTACTGTTCCAGTGTCTGGCCTTAGCTTGCAAAGAGAATGGTTTGCATCCTTCTATAAATGTCTGATTGTGTGGTTTTCATTCAAGCTGGCGAGTAGTTACACCCCCAGCCCCATCATGGCTAACAGTGGCTCACTGCAGAAGTTGCTTTGCCCTTTCTGCCCAGAAGGGCAGAAACTGCTGAACTTTTCCTGCTGTCTCACTCCAAAGCGGACCTGACATCTCCTGTCACCTCCCCAGAGACTGCAGGGTAGAGCAGATTCCTGCACTCCCTGCATACGGGTTGTGCTTCACCTTCCCCCTTCTTATTTGCACAGGAAGGAGAGCTGGGTTTGTTTTATCCTTTCTACTCATGTCTCACAGGAATGCTTTTTTGCCAGGAGGTGCAGATATGGATGCCATTTGTCCCACCTCAAATCCTTCACCAGAATGAGGTGGTAGTTCGGACCTTCAGTGGGCAGAGCTGGAGTGATCTGAGAACGAGAGTGGAGCAGAAGAAGGGATTAATGGTGAGCAGATTGAAATGACCAGTGACACACATTGGTGCTCTTTGGTTTTGCCCAGCCAAGAGTGAGCCCATTTGAAACATCTCACAAGCTGTATTTTGACCAGCTGTTATAAAATGTAGTGGATTTCAGCTCCAGGTTTCCTCTCTCGTGGAGTTGTGTCTCCTGAAAGTGGTGAGTTGCAGCCTGCCATGCTTCATCCCTGTTCTAGTGCTTTCATCTGCTTTGTTGATACTGGTCCTTATTTTCCTGCCTTTATTGTATTAAATTATATGCCTGTATATTTTCTTCCCTGCCTTCTGTTACAGATGACTCACTGTAGTGTCCTTCACTTCTCTTGGTTCCTTGTTGTGTCTCGACTTGTGCAAGATGAATGCAAAGTGCCAGCAGAGGGGACATTGCTCTTTTCCAGTGTGGATCCAAACATCAAAGTGATCTTTCCTCCTGGAGTCACCAAAGAGCCTCGCAGTGTCAAGATGCAGGTATGCATGCTTTAAAAAGCAACCTTTGGTAAGCTGTGGTGCAGATATTGTCCCATGGCACAGTACAGGAACTGAACTCAAGATGTCTGCCCTAGGGTAATTCCTGTCTGACATGGGTGCTTCATGGGTGGACCCATCTCAGATCGCCTTCTTTCTTAACTTCCCTGCCTGCAAAATGGGCCATGCTGCAAGCTGCCATGTGGCGTCTCCAGCAGACCAGCAGGTAGCTGCTATAAAGGGAACACAAGGAGATTTTCTGTCTTTTTCCCTTGCAAAACTGAGATTGGCAAATCAGCTCTGTGAGACTTGGGTGGGGGGAATCTAATGCGGATCTAGTTCTAAAGCCACCCCACTAAAATTAATTGTTCTGTATAGTTGTCGGTAGTGCTAAATGCTGTTGTAATATCTTGGTCTGTCCCAGCTTGCAGGTTGCTAGACTTCAGCCAAAGTTCACTGTGGTCCTATTTCTCACTGGGTCCTGAGCCAAGAGCAGCATTTTCCTGCTGGGTGCTGCGGGAGCTGAGTGAGCAATGTGGGAATTTGGTATCTGACTGCTCTGCTCACTGTGCTGTCTGCCATGTCCAGGTGCTGCAGGTCCCTGCGAAAGAGATAGACGAAATCACAGCCAGTGCAGGGTGCAGAGCCAGTCCCCTGCTCTGCCTCTCCCAGGACTCCCTGGTGGATTTTCTCAATCCAGTGACAATTCAGCTGCCCCTTCCGCCCGGAATCACAGGTTAGTTTGTTCCTAAAACTGGCAAAGAGAAATGCCATGTGTGGAAAACCGCAGATGGCAAGCTGAGAATTTTGTTTGCCTCCCCTGTTGATAATAAAGCTTGCTGCTTTTCCTGCAGGAACAGCAAAATCTATGTGCTGAGTGAGTGGTGTTATAGGGTGGTGGGAGCTGAAGGTAGTTCAGATCCATCAGATCAATGCTTGGCTTCACAGACCAGACAAGTTGGGAGAATGGCCTTGGCAAATGGATTTCTCTGTCAAAATGCATGTGTATTTAAACTGTTGGTTTCAGTATGGTGGATTGGAGAGTCACTCCTGCCAACCAAGGAGATGCTTTGTAAAAGGGTTTTGATTCATGACTGGGAGTAGCTTGAAACAGGAAATGAAGATGCTGCCTCCAGGGATCTGCCTTCTCTTTTCCTTGCTCATGACTCGGGTGCTGAGCCACTGCAGTTAAAACTGTATGATGAAACGCTAAGCCATATCCCACTCTCAATACTGCTAAAAAAGTAAAAAAGCCTCAATTGTGCCAGGGATTCTTCTGTTTGCTGAGTACCCTGTGTCTCCCAATTCCTATTTGCTTTGATCTTTCCTGGCTTTCTTGTGAAGAAGCAAATTTTTTTTGGGTGTGATACGGTATTTGTTATAACACTACTTGGTATTTGTATGTCTGAAGTGCATCAAGATTGGAAAGTCTGTGGGATGTACATTAGAAAGAGATAGAACTTACTTAGATTTTGGTGTTGAGAATTGTCAAATGAATCTGTTGGTGGAAACCAGCACACTATGATTTTTAGTCTGCATATTTTGCCAGAACATCCTTGAAGCATTGGGATAGCATAGTCCTTTTATTGCTGCTCTTCTTTGGGCAAAGTTAAGTCCTGGATGTTGAAGGCCATGGGCCTTAATTTGGTGTTTTTAAAAGTAAATCACCCAGATCTGTGTCTGGATTTGTAAAGCAATGAATAAAGGCTTCTACTGCCTATAGCATCTCTTGGTCATTGTTGTCTTTAGGACTAAATTTGGATCAGTTAAGGCTGCGTCTTCTCCATGGTGACCCAGAGGGCCAAACCTGGCATGACATTACCAGTCAGGTGGTGCTGAAACTCACTCATATTTATGTGATGTTTGAAGTCACTCACTTCTCCTGGTAAGTGCAGGATTAGTCCTGAGGAAAAGATGGGATGTTCATCTGCCTCGCTTTTCTCACACTCTGACCAAAAGTCATGCCATTAACCCTATCTCTTCCCTTTTCCCTTTGCAAGTCAGGCCCAGTTTAGCACTTTGTCTCTACCCATCATTTTTTAAAATCTTGTGGGTATGACACTGGTGTTTCTACCTGGACAGGATCCCTCCTGTTTCCTAATTCCTTGTGTGCCAGGTACTGGCTGTGGTACACCACTAAGACCTACATTGAAGGCATTGCCAAGAAGGTCTATGAGCGGCTGCGTCTGTACCAGGTGAACTTCATTGCGCTGCAGAGGAAGAAGGACCCCGAGCAAGTCCTGCTACAGTGCGTCCCCAAGCACAAGGTCTGATCTGGGTTCCATTGCCTTGCTCCCGAGCTTCCTGGGCCTCCATTTATAGGATACAGGGCAGCAGTGCACCAAATGGTCCTGTTTACTGCCCTAGAGTCATGGCTGGGGTGTGCTGTCACCGCACAGTTGGTGGTGTGATACTGACTCACAGGGAGCTGTGGGAAGAAGGAAACCTCATTCTATGCAGTGGCACGTGCCGTGCATTGATTTCCTACCCTGAGGATTGGGCTGCTCAAATCAGCTGAGTGACAGTTACTGGCCATGTGTATGCTGTTAGCATCCAGCAAATTTGTGGCAAAACACGTTGGCTTAAACTCAAGTCAAAGTTAAGGCTTACACTTCACTTGTCTGACATGGGCTAGTGGTGTGGGCAGCAGCACTGCTTTGATTTCCTTTGGAGTGGTTAGAAATGGTACTCTTCCCAATGTTCCTTGCTGTTTACAGTTCAAGCAGTGGACAGAACTTATGACCCCTCCTTAACCTGCTTCAGTGCAACATCAGGTTAGTTTATGCTATGAGTTTGAGCTAATCAGGCTGACTTTGTAGGGAAGGAGATGGGAAGCACTGATGCATTCTTTTCTCCTGCCTCTGCTCTAGGGGTATCAGCCCTGAGCAGTGTTGCTTCAGATGTTAGCAAAGAGAGTGTGCATCTGTGTTTGTGGAGCGTGTACCTTGGCAGGCACTGCCGCTCAGTGAGGTGAAGATGTTACCAGACTGCCAGTACTGGGCTGTGTGTCCAGCTCTGCATAATCCTCTGGTCTAGTTGCTTCTTCTCTTGTTTTGTACTGAAATGACCCATGGACACAAGCATCTGCAAGGATTTATATCTTGGGTTCTGGGCTAAAATTATCTCCGGAGAGAAGAGGCACAAAAGGCACAAAACTCAGAGCACCACTTCTTTGTCTTTAGTGAATGTACTGGGGATAGCAGGGGGAGGGTGTTTGTTTGTTTACATCTTTCTCATGTGAAATGGTCTTCCCCTGTTGATGGTAAGTGAGAGGAACGTCAAGAGTGTAGGCAAGGGGACAGACATGCTTCAGACCAAACACGGTGTCCTGTGTTGTCATCCTTGTCAGGTTGACCCAGTGCTGAAGAGGCTGCAGAACCGCTATCAAGGACCTGAGCCATCCGACATGGTGGAGATGTTTGAGGGAGAGCAATTTTTTGCAGCTTTTGAGCGAGGCATCAGCATCGATATGGGTATGGCAGTACTGGGCTCACTCTGCTGCTCCCTACCTCTTGTGCTTCTCTGGCCCCAGGCATATTTCTGCTGGGGGCTGTACTCATCCATGACATTCCTCTCTGTCTCTAGTTTGACCACTACTCACAGCAGCCAACCCATGATTTTGTTGCATTCTCTGGTCACCCATCTTTTGTGTCACTTTTCCCTATGAAAATACTGTTTGCAGACTTCCATTTCCTCTCATGCTCTTGTAAACCTGCAGAGGGCAATAGCTAAATGTGTTTATTTTATGACTGATCTGCTTCTGCAGCTAGCTAGGCCCTTTTCCTGGCATCTTAGACACCACACTGGGATGCCCATGGTGATCTAATTAATGTTGCCCGTTTCTGAGAGAACACATATAAAGTTGGGGGTTTTTTTGAGAAGATATTTCTGGAATAATCCTGAACACATAATTCCTCCTGCTGGAGCCACTAGAAGAGAAGGAAAGAGGGATCAGGACAAAAACTCAAGATAATGTTTTATGTCCCAGTGTGTCTGGACCTGTTACAGCTGCAAAATGAGCCATTTTCTGCAAAATTCGAACACAGAGCTCAGTTTCATTGGTGTAAAGTAAATACAAAGTACTACTAGTCTTTCAGTGAAGTTCATGAGGCTAGAGTCTGTCCCTCTGTCTTGATTTAGGCCAAACTCTTTATTTCCAGCTAATTACATATATGAATGTATGTACCTGATTATATTTTTTCCTTTAGCTCTACTCTGCACCCCTGTATAAATGGTGATGAGATGGGTAACCTCTTTGTGTGCATTAAAAGGTGCTATTGCATCTGATTCTGGCCTCCAAGAGATAGCATGGACTGAGATGGGAAGGAAGCATCATGTGTCATCCTGCCTTGCCTTCCATTCTTGAACTTTACCTTGTGTCCATTCTCCTTTTTCACTTGTAGGACCTGCTTTCTCCACAGTCAGTGTTTTCTGCTTTCCTATGTCACTCAGGGAAGGGGAAGGGAAGGTTGCAATTCTTTCAGTCATGAACACAAGCAGTAGTTAGTAGCATGGAGGCTGCTAGTGGATGATGGGCTGTTGGCCAGGCTGGAAAAGCTGCACACTTTTCTCCACAAGTTGACTGTTTGCTGCTTCTCTGCACAGATCGCCCTGACTGTGTGGACGGCCGTCTGTCGTTTATTTTTTATTCCCACTTGAAGAACATGAAGGAAGTATATGTGACCTCCCCTGTGGACAGGAAAGGCCAAGCTGTAAAAGGCCAGGTGAGCAATGAGTTACACTGACTTCTTGTTTCCTCCACCATCATCATCATTGCTTTTACAATACTCCTCATAGTAATCTGAGTGCTGTGCATGACTCTTTTCCTCCCCTCTTTCTTTGGTTTTGAATTTCACTGACTAAACGCTGAATAATCAAGAAGTGTAGTCTGGAAGGATCACTCATCACTTAGGACTTACATTCCTGATGTAACTTGGGGTGTTGGCAGTAAGTCCAGCCTTTATGGCAGAACCTCAGTGCTCCTCCCAGTTGCACGTAATTGAGAGGCCATATTTGTGGGCTGAGGATAGGTGAGAATGTTGAATTCAGACAGAAAAGACATGGTACCAACAGGCTTGGCCACTGTGCTTGAATCGGAGCCTCACTGAATGCTTTCTGTTTGCAAAGGTCTCCTTCTACCGAGGGGCAGTTCCAGAGAACATCCCTGAAGATGCCAGCAGGAGGAGGAAAGGAGCAGACTCCCTCTGGCTTGCTACTCTGCCCATCAAACTACCTGTAAGTTGTCTCCTACAGAAAAATCAGTCTAGATGGGATAAGAGCAATGCCTTCCTGCTCAGCTAATTTTGGTTTCCCCTGTGAGAAGGGATGCAATGAATGACCAATAGCTGCCCAATTAGGTTGTGGTGGAGATTTCTCACTCCCTGTGAGTGAGCTCTTCTGAAACGAGAATCATGAGTAGGTGGGAGTGGTCTCCATCTCTCCTGTCATCTTGCCTGTCAAGCACAGGCTTGTTGGTTGGGTGGTCAGAGAGGGCGGATCCCTTGAATGATGAGGGATGTAGTACACAAGGAAGCTCACTGTGATTAAGGGAAGTGTCTGTTTTGTTTATAAATTTCTTAGTCACACAGCTCATGCAGCAGGAAAAAAGAAAGGATTAGGATGAGGTAATTATGCTGGATTTGAACACACACAGCAAGTATAAGTATTCTGGTGTGAGCTTTAAAGTCGAGGCTGTGTGTTAGAGTGAGAACTTTTGCTTACGGAATTTAATTTATTTTTGAGAAGCTTAAAACAATAAATACTTTGGTAGGCTGGATGCTTCCCTTCAGATCACGTGCCATGATCTCATATCCGTTTCTGTCACATGCAACCTCAACTACAAATCTAGACTAAGTGCTCTCTTACTGCTGAGGCAAATACACTTTGGAGACATGGCTCATTTTAAACTGCTCTGTAAAGGCAGGAAAGGAAATTTCCAGTGTGAGCTATGTGAAAACTATGAAGTGATATTTTTCTGAGGCAGTGAGCATAGCTGGTCATTTTCAGTGTGAGTGCTCCTTACTTCTTACAGCCTGACTCTTCAGCCCCGAGAATTTCCTTTCTCCCCAGGAGGAGGAAGGAAATTGCAGTGTGGAGACCAAGTGACCAGACACTGTCCTCTATGAAAACAATTTGTAGAGGAAAGAATGTTCTTTCTTCTCTGTGACACAGCAATTGAAAGCCCGCTGCAATGAGAATCCTGGTCCCCTGTGTGGCTTCTCCTTCCCTCCCTTGAACCTGGGCAATGCTGAGACTGGCTACTTGACACAGGCAAACCTGCTGAGCATTGCCAGGCGTGTGGGATCTGACTGGCAGACCATTGGCCTCAACCTGGGCTTGACCTACCAGCAGATTGAGCGCATAGGACACAATAACAGGTAAGGTAGGACACAGTGATCAACAGTGATGCATTCTATCTATGTATGTATCTATGTATCTATCTATCTGTCTATCTATCTATGTATCTATCTGTCTGCAGTGTAATAATATAAATTAATGCTTGGCTGGTTGAAACACTATAATTGTTTCACTGAATGAAAGATGGGTTGACTAATGGTTCTTCTCAAAATAATGCCTTATATAATGGAAAACTGATTATTTTCTCTTGCCATTATAAAGCAAAGCTTTTTGTTTGAAAAACAAAATTGGGAAACAACAAACCTGATGAGCTCTGTAGTTCAGCCGAGTTGCATTCCTGTTTTGTTCTGTGATCTGGATTCCTGGCCAGACTCCATCTCATACAATGAGCAATGGTCTATGGCTTTAATTGTGAATATCGTCTGTATGCAAAAAGAGCTTGTGGTACCTCATGGGGCATGCAGTCTGACCAAAAAGCCAGAGCAGTAGGAGAGAATAAAATTTGTTACGAGCAAACTACTCTTCCTGTGGGGAAATTACATTCAAAAGCAGAATGCCTTAATTTGTTATTTCCATTAGGAAAATATTTTATAGAGAAATGCTAGTGCAGGAGCTGCAACTCCTGTAAGATGAGTGGGGAAGAGGGAGGCCCACTGAGTGTTTTGTGTATCTGGATGGCGTCTCCGGGGCTCTAGCTATGAACTGGGACTTAGGTCAAGTCAGGAGAGTGTGTTGGTTACTTCTGTGCTTCCTCCTTTCTTCAGAGATGACCTTGATAAGCAGATCTTGGGCATGCTTTTCTCATGGGCTCAGCAAAACTCAGAGGATCCTGACTGTGTGAGCAAGCTGATTACAGCCATGAAAGAGAGTGGCCGCCAGGACATAGCTGATGAGGTTGAAACCATCATTGATCTGGGACGACAGAAATACAGCGAGTCCATCCGCCGCGTGGGCTTGGAGCCGGAGAGCAGCAGGGAGGACTCAGCAATAGCTACGATGTAGCACCTAGCAGGAAAAAATGAGTTTTGCATGGGGTCCCTCTGCAAACCCAGAGTGGCAGTGTTTCGGGGATGCTGCCACCTCAACGGTCAGTGTCTTCCTGAGGAGCTGGGCGTTGATTTACTTGTGAGCAGACTGATGAGCTCTCTTGGGTCTGTATTCACACGCCACTTCTGCCAATCCCAGGAAGTTTCAAGTGCATTTATGAGCGTTTTCTCTGCTTTCACTGCTTGACCTTGAGCTTTAGCTTTCAGAAATGTGGAGAAATTTAGAGACTAAAGTGTCTGTCAGTTGAGTACTGGCTAGTGTATAGTATTTAATTAATTAATAGGAGCCCCTGGTGGTATAGTGGTTAAGGGTGCGGTGCTGTCACCGCCAAGGCCCGGGTTCGATTCCCGGTCAGGGACACTCCCCGGGCAGATGGAGCTCGTTAGCCCTGTAAGGTAATCCATCTACGTCCTGAGGACCTCACTGCCACCGTCCAAGCTCGCTTGGCCCCGGCAGATGAACCTTAGGATTAAAGGGTGGGCTCAGTTCCGCGCACACTGTGTCTCACCTAAAAAATCCAATGCGCAGGCTGGAAGGTGTAAAGACCTTCCCCGGATCTTCGCCCGTGAAGACTGGCCATTATTATTATAATTAATAGTCACATTACATGTATTTATTTGTAACTTATACTTGTAACTGTGTTCTGCTGGAAACACTGGATGTGAGTATTTGGGTCCATTTGTGCTCTGGTGCTTGTTGGGAGAGTGGAGGTGCAGTCATGAAGGCTGTTAATGGTGTGTTTTGCTCACATGAAAATATGAATTGTATTCTCCATGAAAAGGTTTCCTGTTCTCTGTCAAATCTCTTCTAGTTCCCTTAAGTCCAAAACAAAACCTAAGTATTCTTGTGGAAGAGGGAAAAACCAATTTGATAAAAATTTTTAGGAAAATTGCCCTCATTTTTTAGTGTTGCTCCAAAAACTGTTTTGAAACAAATAGGCTGCTGCCTGCTGCCAGGCTTTTTAGATGAGACCTACATGGTGCTGACCTTTGACAAAATTCCAGTTTCATTTTACCAAAAAAAGGTAAAAATCCATAACCTGTTCTGGGAGACAGTCTAATTTAAGTGGAAGTAAAATTTCCCTTGCAGTTTCAAAAGGATAGTCCTCACATCCTCCCAGTGAAATATGACTGTGTAGTAGTGAAGATGTGACCCCTCCTGAAGTCTGGTAAAAAGCATTACTTAAATTTGCATTTTAAAGACTGTTCTGACCAGCTTCAAAATAGGCACTGTTGTGGGATTGGCATGAATTGTGCTGAGCTAACTTCCCAGTTTTTCGGTCTGAGTATCTTGTATAAGGCTGGAAGCATTTACTGCTTTTTAACTGCTCAGTTGTTGACTACTGAGGTGCCCTTCTCTTCCTGTTCCCTGTCTCATGATGGCCCTCAGTTGTAATGACAACCCAGTAATGACAGTGGAAAATTTCATGCAAGCTTTTTGAAAGACGACCGTCATCTAAGTAAATTCAACTCTTTCAAGACAGATTTGAATTCAGCATAACTCTCTAAGCATTACTTAAAGGGCTGTTTGCAGTCTGAAAAAAGAAGTGTGTATAAAAATGCCAGGTTGCAACACCCAAAGTCAACCTGCAGTTGCAGGTTGGAGAAATCCTGGTGTTTTCTTCCCCTTATGAAGAATCATCAGTGGCTTCCCTGATGCTGTTTCAGACCTGCCATCAGCACTATTGAAAGAGGTATAAAATCGTTCTGCTTTTTTTTTCCATTTAAGGCCATTCTAACATTTCAGTCCCCAGAGTGCTTAGTGTCCAGTCCAGAGCACTGGACAACGACTTACAGACTTGAGTTTCCACCTTGGGCCTAGGGACTTCCTCAGATCTGATTTTTTAGGTGCTGCCCTCAAGTCTTATTTTGGGTTCACGTCATCAGTTCTCTTTTGAATGTACATTTTCTCTTGTATTCTGTGTCATATGTTCTTGTCTTTAATTTTGATGTATACCAACGAGGTATTTGTTCTTTCCTCCAGTTTTGGGGAGATGCATTTGGGCGTATTGCTCTGACTGGGAATAAAATAAGCACTTAACTGTTCCACATCACAGACTGCTAATCCATAAATGCCTCAAGGAGTTAGACAGAGACAGGTCCCTTTAAACCTGTTGGCAGAACTTGGTGAACTTGGCTTTGCTGTGCAGAAACGGGAGAAGAGCCCCTGTTTGGATACTCCCAGCTGCAAAGTGCAGGACAGACTGCAGCTGAGTTAATGGTATCCCGGAGCTTGGCTGTGCTGCAGCGGGCTAAGCTGAGAAACACAATGTTCAGGACATGAGCTGAGCGTATGTCTGGGGCTCAGGTGGAGCAGGTCTAGAGAGCAACAAGGCTAGTCTAGAGGGGACAGGGCAGAGGGTGAGCCTGGCCTGTGGCAAAGGTGTAGGAGGCTTTTGTCTAGGCAAACTAGGCCAAGGATGTCTGCAAGTGTCATGAGGTAGCATCCACAGCTACTTTATGAAGCTAGGCTACATCAGCCTTCCATTTGTGATGGCCAGGCCACAGCTGAGTTAGGCAGTGCTGCAATAAGGGATAGGGTAGGATGGACTCTATGAAAGGCTCATCCAGTCATCAACAGAGCTGCAGCTCTTCCAGGTAACAGACAGATTGGTGCCAGGAGAGACGGAGGTCTGGTGTTTAGGTTGCGCTTGGTATGTGCTGCAACCAGGCCAGGCAACAGGAGATATCAAACCCTAGACGGTATCGTCAGTAGAATGGCTCTTCAGGATTTGAAAAGCTGATAACTTAAGGAAAGTTAAGGAACTACCCCAGACACTACTATCTCCAGTCTTTCATTGCCGAATGGCGGCCGCTGGGCCAGGCCACCTTGCTGGCATCTGGTTTTCTCCTTGAAGTGACACCAAGCGCCCAGCCCAGGATCTGGAGGTGCTGGCAGGAAATCAGAGCAATTGCCCAACTGCTCTTTCCTTTAGCTGACCTGGAAGCAAATATTTGAGCTGGATGAGAATCAATGGGAAGCGTGTTATTTTGAGGTGTGTTATCTTTGTCAGTAATCTCTTTGAGGCACAGTAACTCCTTCAAGCCTGTAGCTGCTGTGGCCAGGAAATGCTGATAACATTTGCAATAGATGGTTGAAGCAGCAAAAAAACCCTCAAAACTAACCTGGCATTTATCTTTTAAATCAAAAGATGGTGTTCCTTTCTGGCTTTTATGAATTCATCACACACTGGAGTAGTCTTTTGTAAGTCAGCTTTTCCTGGTGCCTATTATGCGCCTTACAGTGTCCTACAAATGATCTGGTAGATTTTATGGTTTTTACTGGGCATGATCTTGATGCAAACAAAATTCTTGCAAATAAATTTCTACCAGGAAAAGCTTACTTACAAAAAAATTTAAAAATAAAGCGAGAAATTGCTTGGGGAGAGGAACATCTAAGATAGGTTCCTTCTTTTTGGCTGTAACTTCTATAGCTCTTTAGCTCTCACAATTAAACCCTTTTCTATTTCATAAACTTGCAGATCTCCAGGAGAATGACCAAGTGGCCCTGGGAGGTGAACAGTGTGTTTCCCATGTACCATCCTCCACTTCCAGGTTCTGCTATTTAATACACACTCGTTTCCATACTTGACAGTGTCATACTGCTGTTGCTTTGCAAAAGGGAAAGGAACCTTAAGTGGTCCTTAAATTCACTGTTTTCCTCCCAGAGGAGGATCACTGCACATCTTCAGCCTTTAAAGCAAGAGTAACTTTCACTGAGGAAGCAGTGGGGCTGATTTTCAGACAGTGGTGCATCAGAGTCTCAGCCCAGGGCTGCCTCAAAGTGAGCCCACTGTGGTTATCAGTTGGTATTGTTCAAATGAAGAAGACAGTTTTCGCTGCAACTAAGTGTGTGTCCATTTCCTGAACCCCACAGAAATAAACTGTATGTTCTTAAAATACTCTTTTTCTGTAAATCTGTGTCTTGAAAATCCACAAGGAGAATTTGATGCTTGTTCCAGTTTCCAGCTACACTGAAGGAACTTGGTGACTGGAAAATATAGAATCCAGGTAGGCACCGTGGCCATGGAAAATTTGGCTTCTACTCGTCCTGCCTCGCTGTAGGTCTGTAGGTTGAATCCCTGCAGAAGTTTGCTTTGGGAGGCTGGGGCTAAGATCCTTCTCTTTTTTTTGCTTATTGAACACCAGTGCAGTCCTTGTCTTTTCCAGATAGGAGATAGTGGAACTGGAAAACGTGAAAGGGGCAGGAAGGATGCTTAAAGACGAGTACTACAGAGTATTTTTTATTTTTTCTACAGCAAAACGATTACACCTCATGGGAAATGATGAAGACTGTGAAAAGATGATTGCCATCCACTGTTTCTCAACTAGGTGGCACCAAATGAAATAATCCAATATCACCTGCAAATAAGCAAAAGTGGGTACTTCTTTTCCCCACTGTGCATAGTTCAAATGCTAACTCTTTGCTGTAAGATGTTTGAGGCCAAAACACAAATGTTGTGTTCAGGAACTGATTGATTAAATTGGTGGGAAAAAGATCCTCTAGAAAGCAAATGAATATGGAAAGCTGAATGCATTCCCACATGGAATGAGTGAGAGACCTGGGGATGCTTTCCTCAGGCAAGAGTTGAATAAGACAGCAGCAACAGAGCATGTAGAGAAACAAGGAAAGGCAGGGGAGGTGGATCAGGCATATCTACTTGCTCTCCCTAGAAAACCCAGATGGCTGCACTTTTTGCTTCTGCCAAAGCCCTGTGGATAAGAGAAGACCACACTTGCAAGGGTTGGAGGAGGTGGCTGTTGCTTGAACCTTTCCTCAGAACCATGGCTGAGCTTCACTCCTGGACTGAGAATTTCAGCGGTGACCCCTAACAAATCAGGCAGCACTGCCCAAAGGGAGAGACAGGATTGCTATCTCGTACATGTTAAGCTTACAAACATCTGTTCTGCCTTGCTTTCACTGTGTCTCAGCAGAGAGCTGCAGCTGTGGGACAGTTCCAAGGCAGCAGCAAGAGCTCAAAGCTTTGGGTATGAACAGGTTCACATCCGAGTAACCCCAGATGTGTCCCAGCCACACTGTCTCTGCCAGGCTTCTGCCAGAGCAGGTCTGGCCAGACCTGGTTTTCTGGAGGTCTGTAGCATCACCAGGCTGAGAAACAGCAAATCTCAGCAGAGAGTGGGGCCTATGCAGGCAGTGGCTGCAGCCGCTGTGGAGACACCCATCTCTCCCCACTCTGTGAAGAAGGGACCTGGCTGATGGGCCTGAGTGGTTAGGCTTCTAATTATGATTTGTTGAGACGATGGAAGAAGCTTTAGATTACAGTGAGAAGTAGGGAAAGCTGGATGAGGGAGGTAGTAACAGGTTAGCTAGGTGAGGATATAACCTTAGGTATAAATCTTTACCTTACTGCTTCTTCAGCCAAGTCCTTGGAATATTTCACTCCCTCTGGAAGCACCAGTTGTTTGGGAAAAATGGTTTTGGTTTTCTTACCTCCAGGTTGGAAAAAAAATGGAAATCCTTATGATTCTTTAGCATCTTCCCAAGGCCAGAGCTGAGAACAAGTATGGGTTGTGACACTGGTTGTAGCTGCTCCCTCTCAACTCTGCAAGTTTCTGTCTCCTGAGGCCTGGCACATCCTTCATGTATTGCAGGAGCATCAGGCTGAGTGACAATCCTGGCAAGGCTTTCAACCTGGTGCATTGAGAGGAGCAAGAAAACAGTGTCTCCCCCTCAAAAATTCCTTACAACAGATGACTGGGTCACAGTCCGGGCAGGGAAAAGAAAATCCTGCTGCATAAACAGGCTATTTTGTGTCAACTGCTGTGCATCAATGATGGTTGGAGGGCAGAGGCAGTCACAATTGGATCCATCAGCTTTTTGGGGTCCCAAAATAACATGGCTCTGAAGGAGCTGGCGGCAGCTCTTTGCAAGGCGGCAAGCCTGGAAAACTGTGACTCTCCCTGAGGTCAGGCTGTTTCACCCATGACAGGACAGCAACGTCCTCAGTGTCCACTTTCCCCTCCGCCCTGGCAGCATGGAGCCATCCCACCTTTCTGCCACCAAGAAACAGCAAAGCAGGCTAACGTGGCTGCAGGTTTCCCGTAGTTAACTGCTGAAAGGGCTGATGAGTGAATGAGCTGTGGAGGGTGAGGAACGCTGAAAGATCCTGGAGCAAACTGCGCTGTTTGGCATTGTGTGACCACACACCACAGGGGGAAAGAGTGATGTTCCCTATCCTGCAGTGCCCCATTTATCCAAGGCCACCTCTGCACAGGGAGAGATGCGTTTTGCGGGATGCTGTGGGCCATTTTCTCCCTGAGAAGAGGGGGAAAGCCCTGCTGAAAGGCTCCTGGGGCAATAAGTGGCTGCAGCTGCGGGCTCCCTGCCAGCAACTGTGCCCAGAGTGAGATCTGGAGACCGATCTCACAGCCAAGACAGCGCCATTCATCGGCACTCAATAAACAAAAGTGCCTTGCTGTTTTCTGCAGGAGATAAGCATGCAGGGCATGAGATTGCTTTCCCTTGTGCTCTCTGTGCTGAGTGTGGGAGCCTGTGTTGGCTGCCAAAGGAGCCAAGGCACTGCTGCTGTGGGACATGCTGCGGACAGGCGGGTGAAATAGAGGCCGCTGGGTGTCAGGCAGCCCTGAGGCTGGAGCCTCACTGGTGCTATGCACTGGAGAGATGCTGGTGCTTACTGGAGGTTGCCAGCAGGATGTGTTGCAGGAGCTGGGCCATTTTGTAAGCCAGTTCATGACATGTTACCCCTTAGCACTCCAGGGTCAGTGCTGCAGCTCTAAAAGTCCCTTACAAAGGGAAGAAAATTCTAGTGGTTTTTTTTACAGACAGTTGTGTGCCTTGAGCATCAAGGACTTTCCTCCTACTACTTGTTAAGGCATTTGAACCAAATAGCTACTAAGATGATGTCTACAGGCTGTTTCCAAGCAGCAATGGCCAGAGGGGACAGACAGATCATGTACGCTGGTTCACCTGCGTGGTCTTGCAGCCTTGAACTTTCAGGGACAACAGGGCTGGGTTTAAAGCTGCCCTTTTTTCACATCCCACTCAGTCTCCAGCTGCATCTACATCCCCTCTCACTTCTGTAGTATCAAGTATCTGCATAGAAAATGAAACCAGACCTGCTGGGTCAGTGGTTTCTGGGTGATTCCCAGCATCCAAGCTGACGGCCAGCTGTTAATCTGTTCATTTTATTCGTGCTGTTTGGCTGTACTCTCAGCAGTCAGATGCTGAATGCCTCCCCTGGTGCCTCTGTGCTGTTACCTTTGGCAACGCATCCTGTGGTCCCGATGGAGAACGAGATCAGGCTCAGATGAGATCGATTTTTCCAGAAAACAATGTTGATCAGTGCTAATTATGTTACTGCCTCTTCAATAATTATCAGCTAAATTGTCTACCAATGCTCTGATACTCATGTCCACCAGGCCAAGGAACAGTGACCAAGCTTGCCTAATCTGGCTTTTTTAAGCACTGGTTTAATAACCACACCCATCAGGTGCTTGGGGATTTCACCAGCAATCCACCATTTATTGAAACAGAAAACAATACAAATGGGAAAGGAAGCTGAAAAACGCAACCTCATGAAAGCCTCTTTCTTTGCAGCAGACTGAACTTGCCCCATGTCCCTGCAGGGCTGAACCAGCCCACAGCCACTCTGGCAGCCAGGCTGAAAGCAGCACAGGATTCTGAGACTCACGCAGGGTGAGCTTTGTGACAAGCCAAACGCGAACCTGGTATAATGCCCCTGTGCGTGCCATGATGACAACAATGTTGCCTTGTACAGGAGGTCCTGAGCTCTGCTCTTCGCCTTGATTCAGACGCAGACACTGCTGATTTTGAAGCTCCACTCTGTACCGAACAGTTTTAAATCTCTCTTGTGTCTGTCAGAAGAAAAAATTGATGTCTGAAAGCAGAGGAAACCTTGACAACCTGGCACTTGCTGAATGTGAACTTTCTTCCTCTGCTTCCTTTTTTTATGCCCTCTCTCAAATGCTGCCGGAAGAAATGGGTCCTTTGCGCCGTGCAGGTTACAAAGAGCAGTTGTTTTTATGCAGCAGAACCAAAAATAAAAACGTGTGATTGCAGTCCTCCTAAGGCGCAGCCCAAAGATGGACAGTGTTAACCTCTTCTTTGCCAGGGGATGGTACTACCAGTGGATCTGTGGCATGGCATTCTGTGATAAAGAGTAAAATCTGAGTAAAATTGCTGAGTTCAGTTCAGCTTTTGTCTGAGCTGGTACAGCACAGTGAACCCACTGATGCCTTTACCAAACAAGGCAGAGCAGGGACGTGCCACCACCAAGGAAAGGAGTGGGAAGGAGTTTGCAGCTGGGGAGTGAGAAGGAGTGACTGCAGCTCCCCCACATTGTTTTGCTGTTCCCCAAACTGGGGGAGCCACATATCAGTGCCTGTCATAGCAGCCTGCCTGCAACCCTTGCCTCACTGCCTGCTTTTCCAAGGTCATGGTGGAGACAGGACTGTGGGCTGGACAGACTATGCTGGCAGCTCTCTGCCCACAGTATTTGCATTTTCCTTCTGTGCTGGATGCTCATCCAATATATGCCTATAAAATGGCCATGGTGCACAGGTCTCCTTCCTTGGTCAGGGACCACCCTTCTGCAGTGAGCTTTTCATCTCCTGTGCTGTACCTTCTCATGCTTTGACCAGTCCAGGTTGAAAAGCACACAAACTGCTCCCCTTTTCACCTACAACTCATTAGCATTGGCTTCTGATGCTTCTGATGCTTCACTGGCCTCTGGTTTACATCATCTTCTCACCTTGGGATCCAGGTCCCTGACTGTGATAACAAGCTCCTCTCGTTTTCAGGTGCATGAACAACTGTGATGTTTCTGGGCTGTTCATCACGACACCACATAATTGTCACCTCCTCTGT